CTGCAAAATTTCATTGAAATTGGTTCAGGGGTTTTGGAGAAGAAGTCGAAAATGTAAATTGTTTACGGACGCACGACGGACGACGACGGACAAAAGGCGATCGCAATAGGTCACTTGAGACTTTGTCTCAGGTGACCTAATAAACTATAGTAAAGTTTACCTCCTCCCACGGGGGAAATGTGAGACCCCAGGGTCATAAAATTCACAATTTTGGTAGAGCACCTTAAGACCCTTACATCTATGAAGAGTGTTTGATTCTACCATATCTGGGTCTTGAGAAGAAGATTTTTGAAATTTCAGTCAATTCAACCCTTTTTGGCCCCACCCAATAGCCCCAGGGGGGGTTCAGTCAGGGCTCATATGTGCATACCATCAAACTGCTACCCAATACTGATAATGCTAACCCAAATTGAATTACTTCCAATGGAAATTAAACAAATGTTGGTCCAAAATGTGATTTCCCTATATAAACTATAGTAAAGTTTACCCCCTACCCAGGGGGAACCATGAGACCCCAGGGTCAAGAAATTCACATTTTTGGTAAAGCACCTTAAGACCCTTCCATCTATGAAGAGTATTTCATTCTACCATATCTTGGTCTTGAGAAGAAGATTTTTGAAATTTTAGTCAATTTGACCCTTTTTGGCCCAGCCCCTCAGGCCCCTGGGGACCGGGGACCAAACCGGCAACTATTTTCGTTGACCTTTGGCCATGAAAGTTTCTGCAAAATTTCATTGAAATTGGTTCAGGGGTTTTGGAGAAGAAGTCGAAAATGTAAATTGTTTACGGACGCACGACGGACGACAACGGACAAAAGGCGATCGCAATAGGTCACTTGAGACTTTGTCTCAGGTGACCTAAAAATTAATTGAATTTCTTTTTTAATATATTTTTTTTTATCTTTTACCTGACAACCTGTGGTTATTCTTTTCCTTTGAAACATCAATGATCACCTGATATAATTTGCACAAAGTAATAAGTGTAACATTGTAGCGTGATTGCAATATTAATTGTTCTGATTCTAGGATATCATGTTTTTTTGAGTGTCGGGCCTGGAGAGCTAATCATAAATTGTCCCACTGTTTCTGTAACAAAGCCCCTGAGAAATGGCAAGAATATAGACATGGTCCTAAACCCAACAAAGTGATTTTTTATAACTCGTCACAGCAACTGGTGTTAAACTGATCTAATGAAGTTGCTGGTCTGTAAAATTGAAACAGCTTGATAGCAGATCAATGCAGAAACATTATAACCTCTGAGAATCATTAAGTAGTTACTGCTAGGGGCTCCAGGTAATCAAACAAGTCTCTCAGGGTTCCTATCAGAATCAATGACATACCTGTGGCCAGGTAAAGGTAGGCTAGCACTAATTAACCTGCTGTCATTGGCTGCTGCCATAAGTGTTGACAAGCAGCAAGGTGTAGCAGTGTATTCTCGTTCACCTTTGTTATACATTAACTAAGAGACAACTTGAAACAAGAGGCCAAAAGGATCTGTATTGCTCACCTGTATATCTAAGCAATCATGGCAAAATATTCTCCAAATGAGATCCAAGGGAATATGCCAGACCCCAAGGCCAATCCTTGTAGCATATCTGTATTAGATTTTTCACGCCCAGCAATTTTATGTATGGTTATGGGGTTTATGCGGTTTTTAAGCTGTGACTCAGAAACTAGGTCCCTAGGGTTGTGGCCAAACCCCAGGATCAATTATAATATCATGACTGCATTCGTCTCTTCATGCCCAACAATTGTAAATATAGTTTTGGGGTGGGGATCTTAACCGTTTCAAAGTTATGACCCAGGGGTTAAGTGTCCAAATGTGAGGCAGTCCCCAAGGCCATCCTGGAAGCATTATGTGCATTCATCTCTTTAAACTCAGCAATTGCATATATGGTTATAGGGTGGGGATCTCAACTGTTTCCAAGCTGTGACTAAGAAAAAGGGTCCCTAAGGGTTTGGTCAGACCCCAGGGTCTATTCTAATATCATGACTGCATTCGTCTCTCTATGCCCAGCATTTGTATATATATAGCTTTGAGGTGGGGATCTCAACCGTTTTAAAGTTATGGCCCAGGGACTATGTCTAGGGTGGGGCCAGACCCTAGGGCCATCCTGGAAGCAAATGTGCATTCTTCTCTTTATACTCAGCAATGTATATATGGTTATATGGTGGGGATCTCAACCATTTCCAAGTAATAACATGTTTTTGGCCCCATCACTTAGCCCGGGGGTCAGCCCCACCATTTGTACAATTTTGAATCCCTGCCTCACATGAATGCTTCCGACCGAATGATCGATATCCATGGCATAGTTCTAGAGAAGAAATTGTTTATAGCAAAATAGCCAAATTGCCCCCTTTTGGCCCGGCCCTCAGCCCCCTGGGAGGTCAACCCCACAATTTGTACAATTTTGAATCCTCAGCACCTAAGGATGCTTTCAGTCAAATTTGGTTGATATCCATCCGTTAGTTCCAGAGAAGAAGTCGCTTAAAGCAATATAGCCAAATAACCCTTTTTGGAACTGCCACTCAGCCCCCTGGGGGGTCAGCAATACCATTTGTACAATTTTGAATCCCTGCCTCACATGAATGCTTTTGATTAAATATGATTGATATCCAGTGCATAGCTATACAGAAGAAGTGGCTTAAAGCAATATAGCCAAATTGCCCCCTTTTTGCCCTGCCCCTCAGCCCCCTGGGGGGTCAGCAATTCCATTTGTACAATTTTGAATCCTCACCACCTAGGGATGCTTCCAGTCAAATTAAGTTAAATTCCAATCAGTGGTTAAGAAGAAGAAGTCGTTTCAAGAAATTGTTGACGGACGGACGACCGATGCCACAGTATGGCATAAGCTCACCTGGGTCCTTAGGACACGGCGAGCTAAAAATTCAGGTTTAGCAAATTTGAAAATATGTGATAGAGTTCAATTCTAGATTTGATGATCATATTTTGTTTAAAGAGGAAAAGAAATGAGGAATGTAAAAGATAGGGATCGGGTAACAGACAGACTGGAAGATGATATGAAATTTAAAAGAAGGGTTAACAAATAGAGGAGAAAAATGAGAAAAGATGGGACATTGTAATCTTTTAAGGATTAATGCAAAGACAAGTGGGAGGAAAGTATGGGAAAGGATTAGAAGGTTAGGAAGACAGACACATAGAATAGTTATGAAGTAAATAAGACATTGAAGAAGAAGCAGGATGGATTGAAAGTATGGGAAAGAATGTTAGGAAGAGAGACGTAAGGAATAGCTATGAAGTAAATAGGACATTGAAGTAGCAGGATGGAGACAATCTGTGTTACTGGTGTTTTAGGTACAAACCTTGTTAGGGTCTACAGGATTGTCACTCAAGTGTACCACTGTGCCAGGGTGAGTCTTCCTTGACCTGAAAGTATAGAACAATTATGTCAATGCCAACTTGGACTATTAAGCCTAATATACAAACATCTATATACCAGATGTGTCTATGACACATGGATGTCCACGTCTACTCCATCATTAGTAATGTAACTAGATTTAGTTTCTATCTATAATATCTGTGTCATGAAAAGTAGATTCTGTTTTTTGTTAATTAACTGATGAACATGGTGAATGCAGATCTTATCAAACTATTTTGGGACAGATTTCTATGCACACTGCAACATTCAAACGCATCACTGAAATGAAATGGTAAAAACATAATGCCCTCGGCATTTCATGCAGGGGGCAATAAAATAGGGAAATATGGAATAGACAAATAAAGTTCTCTGTTTAGCACAGAAACTCTTTTCCAGATTGATGGGAGCTGTGTGAAGTAACCAGACAAACTAATGTCTTAATAATGTGCCTGGTTATTGTGTAATTACAGCACGTAGTTGATGATGACACCGAGGGAAGGTTTATGTGATGGGATGGCTCCATCAACCCTCCAATAATAGCATTCTAGTACTGTTTTGCATGACAGTTTGACTTCCCTTGTTACTGGTGATTGGTCATAAGCAAAATGTACTTTTAATGCTAGACCACAAAATAGGGAAGAAAGGATGGTGTCCTGTATGTCCTTTAACACAGTATATAGGGGAGATTGATATCCTGTGTATCCCCTAACACATTACATAGGAGGGGAGGATGGTGCCCTGTGTACCCTCTAAAACAGTACATAGGAGGGGAGGACTGTGCTCTGTGTATCCCCTAACACATTACATAGGAGGGGAGGATGGTACCCCGCGTATCCCCTAACACAGTATATAGGAGGGGAGGACTGTGCTCTGTGTATCCCCTAACACAGTATATATGAGGAGAGGACTGTGCTCTGTGTATCCCCTAACACAGTACATAGAAGGGGGGAATGGTGCTCTGTGTATCTCCTAGCACAGTACATATGAGGGGAGGATATGGTACCCCGTGTATCCCCTAACACAGTATATAGGAGGGGAGGACTGTGCACTGTGTATCCCCTAACACAGTACATAGAAGGGGGGAATGGTGCTCTGTGTATCGCCTAACACAGTACATATGAGGGGAGGATATGGTACCCTGTGTATCCCCTAACACAGTATATAGGAGGGGAAGACTGTGATCTGTGTATCCCCTAACACAGTATATAAAAGGGGAGGACTGTGCTATGTGTATCCCCTAACACAGTACATATGTTGGGATGATATGGTACCCCGTGTATCCCCTAACACAGTATATAGGAGGGAAGAACTGTGCTCTGTGTATCCCCTTACACAGTATATAGGAGGGGAGGACTGTGCTCTGTGTATCCCCTAACACAGTATATAGGAGGGGAAGACTGTGCTCTGTGTATCCCCTAACACAGTACATAGAAGGGGGGAATGGTGCTCTGTGTATTGCCTAACACAGTACATATGAGGGGAGGATATGGTACCCTATGTATCCTCTAACACAGTACATAGGAGGGGAGGATGGTACCCTGTGTATCCTCTAAAACAGTACATATGAGGGGAGGACTGTGCACTGTGTATCCTCTAAAACAGTATATAGGAGTGGAGGACTGTGCTCTGTGTATCCCCTAACACAGTATAGGGGATGGGAAAGGACTGTTTGTTAACCATTTATATATGGTTATCAAAGGATATAGGATATCAACTGATATGTTCAGCAACAAGTCACTGCCAGGATTATATTATATTGAAGGTGTATAGATAATGGTTATGAAATTTTTGATTTTGAAACCAAAACTGACTTTAACTAGCAATAATTTGATTCCGATACATATATCCCCAGTCTCTGCCTTCATCTGAACATAATCTGAGACTTAACTCTGACAGGGATGCTACATTTATTATGTAACATTGGTAGGATCCCCTGATGGTAGCCAGACACACTAGAGTGTTATTCCTCATTGACAATGCCCTGCCATGAATAAGTCCTAATTAAGGCAGGACTTGTAACCAAACCAGCCACGAGAACTCTTCATAAAACAATAATGTAAAAAGCTCCCACCAACAACAAGCAAAGGCAACAGTTTCAATCTAACATAACTTTCAAAAGGGATAGATATGTTTTTGTATCTTATGGTCGTTGGTTTGCATGTTTATAGTATTTTCTTGTTAATGGTAGCATGTCTTGTCACTTAATCCATGTTCTGTGTCATACATCACATTGCGTGTTGGCAGAATGGAGCAAGGCAATGTTAAGGTGTGCCCCATCATGTCAAGCAAGTAGGCATTAAGGTATCTCTGGCCATCTCACCACTCCAAACCCTCAACCAAACACAGCTCCTCAGAAAATCACAATTTCAAACCTACAACTAGACATGGCTCCCCCTAGACTCAAACCACTAGATGTCCTGAACCACCAAGGCTCTTCCTACACTCACGCCCCAAATACTTGTCGACCAAACACGCCTCACAACCGAATATAGCTCCTACGCTCAAACTCCGAATACTTGTCGACCAAATACGCCTCACAACCGAATATAGCTCCTACGCTCAAACCCCGAATACATGTCGACAAAACACGCCTCACAACCTAATATAGCTCCTACGCTCAAACCCCAAATACTTGTCGACCAAACACGCCTCACAACCGAATATAGCTCCTACGCTCAAACCCCGAATACATGTCGACCAAACACGCCTCACAACCTAATATAGCTCCTACGCTCAAACCCCGAATACTTGTCGACCAAACACGCCTCACAACCGAATATAGCTCCTACGCTCAAACTCCGAATACTTGTCGACCAAATACGCCTCACAACCGAATATAGCTCCTACGCTCAAACCCCGAATACTTGTCAACCAAACACGCCTCACAACCGAATATAGCTCCTACACTCACATCCCAAATCCCACTACTTAACCCTTAGGCTGCTACGCACGACAATAGTCGTTTTTAAAAGTCGGGCTGTCAGTGCTTCGCTCGGCCTGTAGGTTTTGATCGGTAGCCAGGAAGTGTGAAGTCGGGTTGTTGCTATACCAAACCCGAACGCGTATAGTAGAAGGGTTCTGATTGGTTGTTTTGTCATTACTTTTGATATTCACGGTAGTGTACCCTAGTAATAACCAAAGGTGTGCGAGAGAATTTCAAATCGAAAAAAAAGTCATAAAAATGGCGGACGTGTAGATTGAAGCGATGCATATGATGGTAAACATTTACTTTCCATCCGAGGACCGAGGCGCACATGTCGTCTGCAGGTGAAGCCGAATTGAACATTGACACGTTTTGAGCCGATTTATTTCTTCAAACTTTTTATCGGTGACTTAATCATAAACTAGACCGTAGCTAAGATATATCTATATGCCGACTGTGACAGTAAATTTATTTAATGGCGACCTGAAACCTGTAGCAAATCACATGTAATTCTTGACGAAATACCTGACCTTTTTACCTGAGAATCTCCGTGTAAATATACAGCGTCTTATGTCAAAAATGAAATTTATAATCTCTGTTATCATTTGCCAATCACATTTACGGACGAAAATAATTTTAAAATGATCTTCCTCTTGCTTAAATCCGATTAATTAAAAGTTTCACATTTTCTTACCTTTATTACCACCTGTACAGGTAAATACTGAAGCAACTTTAGAATTGAAAACGTTAATATAAACTAGAGACAACAACGAACAATTTTCATATAACTTTTTTTCACATATAACAAATATTTTCCAAGTTATGCACATTTGAAAAATCAAGTAAATTAATTTAAATTTCAATAATTAATTCAGCAGTGGTGTCCGTTTACATAGAAATCAATATAGCAGCCTAAGGGTTAANCAAATATGCATAAACTGACATTTACAAAACTTTATCTTTTCATTATCTTTTCTTATTTCTCGTATGGCCGTAAAGAGTAATGTAGTCCTTTTGGTACCAACAAACAGCAAATGCCAGAAGGCAATAATCTGAAGCTTCACAGAGGTGAGTCAGAAATTGGAATTATTTTTGTCACATCAGAAGACTTCATTTGCTATATTGTAGGGTACTTAGTTCTGCTGTGTACAGAAGGTTGTAGTGTTGCTGGTATTAAACTCTGTGGTGAAAAGATACTCTTCCAGGTAATACAATATTGGAATCTGTTTTGGATTTTTTTGAAATTTCAAAAATAGTGGTTTTCAATAGAAAACTTATCTTTCACCAATATGGGAAGAGAATGTCACTGTATATATCTCTGCTGGATTTTTAACCAATATTGAATGAGTTATCATTGGTGTTAAGTTTTAGGTTTTTGGTCTTTAAATAAGAAATAGTTGATTTATAAGATTTCGTAATTCAACACTATATATACCAATGAATTAGCAGTTATCTGATAATGTAAACAACTAAGTGAAGTAAATAAATAAAACATCTTTTTTTGAAGCGGTGTGTTAACAAAAATGTTATAAACCATTTTGTTGCAGACAATTGATCAATATACCTATAACAGTGTATTGTTTTGAGCGATATTGTGGAGCAGGTGTTTGTCTTCCTTATAGCTTTGTAATAGGGCTCTACCACTGAGAGCAGCTGGAAATCTCCTGTAGCAGCCACAGTCACCCATTTCTGTATGTTTTAAACAGGAGAACAAATTAGCTAATTACCTCTGTATTTACAACACAGGCAGAGTAGCAGGTGCTCATGGCACAGGTAAAGCTGGAACATGTTCATCAATACAGCCATGCAATTACCTTACCTGCAAGAATGTCACGCACACCTCTTACACAAATATGTGCTCCCATATCATAGAAACTATTATTTCATACACTTTTTATGAACTATGATATCCTCACGATTGTTAAAACACACAAGGGGAACTCCATTTCTGATGACTTCTTTTTCTATTCATTCTATGGGCTCTTTTTTACAAGTGTATGTCGTTCTATGGGCTCCTATACACTATCACACTCTGTGAGTTCCCATTTTTTCAAGTAGAACTTATAAGCAGTATGTCCCATATGA